ATCCGATGAGATTGCTTCTCGTGGTGGGAGACCTCCGGCTCCTCGAGGTCGTGGTGGTGCGGGTGCCTCAGCCCCTCCTACTCAGAATCGGGGTCGTGGTGGACGTACAGGAAGTCGGCCTGTTCAGTCTGGTGAACCGTCAGCATCGGCATCAATTGCATCGACTCCCGCCCATGTCGGTAGTGGAAGTACACCTGCTGCTGAGGCTCCTTCAGCAGCAACGATTAATCCGGCTTCAAATAAAACTAAAGACGATCCCTTTAATCTAGAGAGATGGTTGGAGACAAAGGGTGGAGCTGATTGCTGGAAGGACTTTACGAAGGTGACAGTGGATGAGTATCCGTTTGGAGAGTGCAAGCATTGTCATACTAAGATCAAAGCACATCCATCCAAGAATGGCACTTCTGCAATGAATAACCATCAGAGATCCTGTTTGGCTAAGGTTGCAGCATCCAAGGATCAGACTGTTCTGAACTTGCAGGCCGCCGATGGTAGTGGAAGTCAAGTAAGTGCTTTATTGAAGTTTGATCAAGCAAAAGCAAGATATTCCTTAGCCATGATGATTATAATGGATGAATTGTCTTTTCGCTTTGTGGAAAGAGACGGGTTTAAGCAGTTTATGCATACGGTTGAGCCACTGTTTAAGATACCTGGGAGGAGAGGTATAAGAGATGATTGCTTTCATATATTCTTGGAGAAAAAAATGAATTTGATAGAGTTTTTTGAATCAAAGAGCAAAGGCAGAGTTTCAATCACCACAGATACGTGGACTTCTGAAAACAACAAAAATTACATGTGTGTGACTGCACACTTTGTTGGAGGTGATTAGAAGTTGCAGAAGAAGGTGATCTCCTTTGTTCCCATCACAAGTAATACAGGAATTGATATTGCAGAGAAGCTTGCAGAAATTCTTGAAGAATGGAAGGTGAAGAATTTGTTCTGCATGACCATGGACAATGCATCTACAAATGATATTGTGAGTGATTGCATGAGAAGGAAATTAAAGGAGTGGGGGTGTGATTTGATGGATGGGAAGTATCTGCAGTTTCGATGTGTTGCACACATCATTAATCTGGTGGTGCAGGATGGATTGAAGGTAATCGGAGGAGTTGTGGATAGAATTCGGGACTGTGTGAAGTGGGTGAGGTCATCGCCAGCTAGGTTGGCAAGGTTCAAGACTGCTATGCAATTTTTGGAGTTGGATTCTACCAAATTGGTGTGTTTGGATGTACCGACCAGGTGGAACTCCACCTATGTCATGTTAGAAGCAGCAGAAAGGTTTGGTGGAGTGTTTACCACCTTGTATACAAGTATACATGATCATTCCTTCATGGATTACATTGACGCAAGAGGTGGTCTACCAACTGAACATGATTGGAGTCTGATTAGAAAGTTGATGAAGTATCTGAAAGTCTTTAATGACTTTACCCTCTTAGTCTCGGGTAAGTGAAATATTTGCTCACTTTGTTTATTTTAATTTGAACATTTGACAATTTTGGTTTGTTTAAGTCTAATTTCCTGTATTCTATTATCATTTGTACAGGAACTAAATATGTGACTACCCATCTTTTCTTCAAGAAACTTGTTCCAATTTATGACATCATTCAAGAATTGAAGAATGATCCGCGTGAAGAGCTCAAAAGGATGGCAGAAAAGGTTGAAGAAAAGGTACAAAAGTATTGGTTTGACACACCTGTCATGAATGAGGAGAATCCTAGGGTGAATCATTTAATCTATATAGCATGTGTGCTTGATCCTAGAAGTAAGCTTGATCTTGTGTCTGAAGTGTTGGTAATGATTTATGGAAATACCAAAGGATGGGAAATTCAGGCTAGGATTAAAAGGGAGATGCGCCAGATGTTTGAGATTTATAAGAGGAAGTATGGATCAGAGTTAGCATCTCAGCCTACCACTGATGATAACATTGCTGATGATAGTTCCGCTGATGGTGTCGGTGATCGGATTAAGATATTGGAGGAGAGGCTTAGAAAGAGAAAAAGGGAAGCACTTCTGCTGGAAACAGGAGGTAGCTCTGCTGAGCTTGACATCTATTTGAAATGTCAAACTGATGGCATCAATGAAGAGAGTGATGATGCAAAGTTTGACATATTAGAATGGTGGTCTCGACACTCTGGAATATATCCGATTGTTGCTGAGATGGCTAAGGATGTCCTAACTGTTCCTATCTCTTCTGTTGCCTCAGAGGCAACATTCAGTTGTGGCGGGCGGATTCTCAGTCCATTCAGGTCCTCTTTAAGCGACCTAATGGTGGAGGCATTGATTTGTGCTGAGGATTGGATAAGGTATCCCGGATCCAGGGAGATTGACGACAAGGAAGATGATGAAGAGAATTTGACTTTGGAAAGTAGTGAGTTCTCAAACTCTCTTATTGTTCAATTTTTTGTCTTCTTTTCACTTAATTCAATATATGAATGTACTAACACTTTGTTTTCCTTTTTTTTCTTACTCAGTTAATGTCACTTTCCAAACTAGAATGGAAAGTGCAACGAATACTGGCAATGTTGGCAATGCGGATGCAAGCCTCAACATTCCAGTGGAGAATGAGCAGGAGGGTGAAGAAGATGCACCTGAGGAAGAGTATGAGAAAGATGGATATGATGATTATGGTCATGACTTGTTGCCCGTATTGAAGGAACAGGGTTATGCAGATGTTGGTTCTTCTAAGGCTGGTGATAAGTGATGTGTTGTTGATTTGTTGTTATCTAGAGGATTTATTGTGATTTGTGTAGTTTATGTTGTTGAATTAATGAATGTGAGACATTAAGTTGCTAATTTAGATGTATTTTCGATGCGAAAAGAATTGAAATGTGGGTTTGAGATTTTAATTTTAGGCGATTTTAGGTTTTTTCCCCTTGCTGTCCGGTCGGTTTTGACCGGTTAAAGGTCGGTTTTCGGTCTTGGTTCTCGGTTTTCAGTCTTCGGTCGGTTTTCTTTCGGTCTTCGGTCGGTTTTCTTTCGGTTTTTGGTCGGTCTTCGGTCGGGTTCCACAGCAGACCGAACCGCCCCCTTCTATTTCGGTTGCGCCGGGTTAACCGTGGATTAACCGAAACCGCCCGGTCGGTTTTACGGATAACCGATGCACAGGGTCGGTCGGTTGGCGGTAAGGGCTGGTCTGGTCTCGATTTAACCGAAAACCGAGGAATCGGTTTTCGGTTAAACCGAAACCGACCGGTTGACAGCCCTAATTGCCATCACTGTCTTGGTCTACAACAGTGATGTTGAAACTGCTGTATTTTGGGAAATAAGTTTATAAGTACTGTATTTTGGGAATTTTTTTAAATAATTAGAGTATTTTGGAATTTTTTCCGTGAGAATACATACGTGTGGGTGTAAACAAGGAAGGATTCGGATGTCAAACGAAGGAATTATGACTCGCATAGTGGAGTTGCTACTAGAATTGTGCACAAACACGTTTTGACATATTTAACGCTTTTGGCCACACTTTTGACAATTTTTGTACAAAAGACGTTTTGCATAGAAACTTGCTCATTTTGATGAGTCTAAAACATAAATAAAAAAGTATGTTTTCACTACAAGGCTCTTTTTTTTTTATAAAGATGATAATTGCATAAAAAGAAAAGAGACAAAAAAGAGTACAAGTCTCAGTTCAAAACAAAAAGCAATGAAAACCAGACAACAGAACAGGAGCACAAGCAGTGCAACCTAAGGGAAACAAAAAAAGGAAGTAAAAGGTTGCTGGGCAAACCAAAGAACCAGAAAACAACATCGAAACACTCCGAACAAACAAACGACATCGGCCCAAGAGCAGGCACAAAGACAGCAGCAGCACAAGGCTCGTTTTTACTACATTGATCTCACCTAATTTAAAGTTTATTAGTTAATATATGATGTAACAAAAATAAAATTACATATAATTTGAGTAAATTACACATAATTTTAAAAAAGCAGGTCACTAGTGAGATTAACCGAGGTGAAATAGATATAATTGCATCCGTAAAGGTGAAACTATATATAATTTTCTACCTTACAAACAATATTTATAAAGTAATATAGGCTTCATGATCATAGTTAGTAAATACTTCATTTGATAAGCATATCAACGAATGAATATTTTTTTTTATGTATATTGATATACTCTGTTTAATTTGTACTCGGCCATTTGAAAGTTTCCATACTAAATATATATAAAATATGTATAACACATTTTTATATTAACATGAAATGAAATAAATTGATATAATTTGAACATTATTTAGACATTATTTAATTTCATATATTGTTACTATTGAATATTGATAGACGTATTATTAGTTCAATGATAAAGTAAAATATCCATACATGTTTTGTATGTAACTTACCCGCAACACGTTTTACGACATTTTTACTATGTTCATAGTTTTGTTACAGCTCACGCTCATCTTGGGCTCGGCGAAGCAACGGGCTATAGCAACAGGCCCAGTACACACCCATGCCAAAACGTGTGATTCCAGAGCTTTACACAACCACAACACACAATTGGTACGTACTCTAGCATCGTCCAATAGAACCCAGCCCCACCAAAAGGCCTTAAATTTAAAGAACACCACATTACCGGGTGAATTGCAAATTTGATCACCCATATTACTCATTTATAACACTTTAGCCACCCGAATAAAAAACCATTCAACTTAACCATCAATACTACACGTTCATGTCATATTTGGTCACTCGCCGTCTAGTTCCGTTAAGTCTGTTCTAGGTGGCAGTCAACTCCAACTTTTGACCGTTAAAAAGCTGATGTGTCATTTAAAAAATAATTAATTAATATATTTATTTTATTTTATAGCTCACAAGTTTCAATTTTCAATTTATTTTAATAAAATAATAAACTTTACCCACTAACACACAAATCGCCGATCTCCTCCTATGTCGCAATTTCACCATCGCAATCTCCGCCGTCATCGTCGTCGCCCTCTCCGAGAGAAAAATAGGGAGAAAGAAACAGCAAAATCGACCCTTCAGAGAATCTCCTCCCAAATCTACCGACTCCCTTTTGTCTCTCCTTCACAAAATCCATCGTCGGTCGTTCTTCCTCCTCTGACGCATGCTCCTCTCCCTTTGGGTGGTGGGTCAATGGAGTTAAAGAGTGAATCCCCTAAAAGTACACAAATTGATTGTGGCACCACTGTTTCCGACGCCGAGAATGGCTCCCTGACGACGGCTATGTCACTGCTGGGACTTCCAAGAATCTCGACCTCCCCGTCCTCTCGCCAATTATCTCCACCGTCAGATCGTTTCAACCGGGGGGGGGAATCACGGTCACATGTTCTTCTTTGAGGCCGCGTCACCCGGGTCAACGGTAGGGACGCCGTGCAGCCTATTTTCTTCCAGATCGAGATGGGGTCCATTGGAGCGTTGTCTACACGACGACTGATTTCTCTGACGAAAGGTTGACTTCCTACAAAGGTTTTTTTGTTGCTGGACGATGGATTTCTCTTATCCATTATAACCCAGAAGCAAGCTTGATGCATTTTTTACATTCTTCTCCATCATTCAAGTTAACTCAGTGGTCGGAGAAGAGAGAGGGGCAGCGGATTTTTCTTTTTAATTTGTCGGATTAATTGGTTGGGGAAGGGAGGGACGGAAGAGAGTCGGTCAAATGATGGAGTTGAAAATTGTGAGGTGTAAAATAAAATAAATTTTAACGTTGTAGTTGACTGCCACCTAGGAGAGACTTAACGGAATTAGACGGCGAGTGACCAAATATGACATAAACGTGTAGTATTGATGGCTAAGTTGAATGATTTTTAATTCGGGTGGCTAAAGTGTTATAAATGAGTAATATGGGTGAACAAATTTGCAATTCACCCCCACATTTTTTTAACCAAAGATAGCTTGCATTACCAAGAGAAAGATAGATCGAACGTTTACAACTCCGAACGGAGCCAAGCGCAAAAATCAAAACCTAGCACAGCACTAGCTGACAATGCTAGGGCCTTCCTTGCCACCAAATGGGCAACCCTATTTTTCTGCCTACCAACGAACTGCACTCTAAACCCCGGGAACATATGCCGAAAAGCCCTGACTTCCTGCAAGATTGCTCCACCCTTGGCGTTCATCACCTACATCGCATTCACCTTATCAATTACGACCTTTGCATCCCCCATAATCAGCATTGACCCCCAACCCCTCATTATGCACCAGTACATAGCCTACCGAAGTGCAACCAACTCCACCACTGCCGGCTCAAACGCTCCATCCAAGCGCTCCCCTTTCGCCAACACGACGGCTCCCGTTGCATCCCGAATAACTATCCCAACTGCAGCATGAGACTACCCACAAACAGCACCATCAAAAGAACACGACAAGTCCCCCACAGGTCCCGCCAGCCCGCCCAACCCACCTTGTACCGGCGGACCAGCAAGCCCCACAGCCCCCTCACCTTCTAGCACCCTTTCCCACTCTTGCATCTGATGCAGGAGTTGCTGCCGGAGAATGGATCGGTGTACCTGCTTGAACTCGAATACCACCCAATTACGCGCCTTCCAAATGCGCCATAACACCGCCACTACGCGGCACATCATGGCCTCCGAGATTACCCGCTCCAAGACTCGTCGAAGGAAAACCACAAAATTGGTTCCATCCAGGCCGTCTGCCAGTCCCAAGACCCCACCGCTCTCCCATAACTCCTGAGCCACCGGGCAAAGGAAGAAAAAATGCTCCAAGGATTCCAGCTCCGCCCAGCAAACCGGGCACCGCCCCAGGACATCAACCTCCTTCTCGAGTAAAGCCTCCGTAGTGGGCAGAATACGACTAAAAATCTGCCAGAGAAAGAATTTCAGCTTTGGTTGCACCTGCAGAGACCAAATGGTCTTCCAAATCTTCAAATCCATCCAACTAACCTCCTCTTTCCATTTAGCCCACCGGCGCCTCCGACGGAACGCCAGATGATAACCAGACTTGACCGTGTACGCACCAGAAGAATCCTTTGCCCATATAAGTTTGTCCTTCACCTCCAAGCGGGGCAACGGAATAGCCTTAATCCGTATGACCCATTGAGGAGGGAAGCAAGCGACCAGGCATTCCTCACACCATTTCCCCTCCCCTGGGAAAATCAAAGCCGAAACCTTATCATGTCCCGAGACTGGAGCCAAAGGCAAGAGAGGAGGAGCCTCTTGCTCCTTCCCCGGCACCCACAGAGCAGATCCTATCTCCACCTCCTCCCCCGTACCCATTTGCCATTGCAGATCCTGTTTGAGCAAATCACACCCATGTAGCACTCTCTGCCAGCCCCAGGATGGGCGAGATCGCGGACCCGCAGTTAGGAAGGACCCATTTGGGAAATACTTCCCCTTTTACATTCTTGCTAACAACGAGCCTGACTCCTCTAAAATCCGCCATCCTACCTTTGCCAATAAGGCCTGATTGAACTCCTCAAATCGTCTGAACCCCAAACCGCCCTCATGCTTGCTTCTGCACAGTCGTCGCCAAGACATCCAATGTATCCTCGGCGAGCCATCCTTCGTCCCCCACTAGAACCGTGCCATCAATCGATCCAGCCGACGACACAAAGTTTTCGGCAATAGGAAACAGGACATAACATGAACCGGAAGATCCACCGCCACCGATTTAAGGAGGGTTTCTTTTGCCGCCCAAGATAGATGACGTTGTTTCCACCCTTGCAACCTAGCGAGAAGGACCTCCTCAACGAACCTGAATGTTTCCGCCTTTGACCTAGCTACCAGAGTCGGCTAACTGAGGTATTTATCCTAGACCCCAACCCCAACCGCACCCACACCCAGCTGAGCAGCCATCGCGGCACAATCCGGCCCCAAGATGTTCCTACTGAAGCAAACAGCTGACTTGGCCAGATTCACCCTCTGCCCACTTAACGTCTCGTACTCCGGCAGGACCGCCAGAAGAGCGTCACACTCTCGCAAGGATCCCCTCAGAAACAGATGAGAATCATCTGCAAAGAACAAATGCGACATGGCCGGAGCTCTAGGGCTCACACGAACCCCCGCAAGCCTTCCTTCCGAAATCTCCTTATTGATCAAGGCAGAAAATCCTTCAGTACAGAGCACGAACAGTAAAGGTGACAAGAAATCCCCCTGTCTCAACCCCCGTGACGATCGAAAGAAACCCGAGGGGGCTCCATTCATCATTACCGAGAGAGATGCCGAAGAGAGGCACTCTCGTATCCACCCTATCCAAACCTCACTAAAACCCAATCGTTCCAAGACCGAAAGTAAGAAAGGCCACTCGACTCTATCATAGGCCTTTTCCATGTCAACCTTCAGAGCCATATAGCCTTTCTCACCCTTCATCTTAATCTTAAGATAATGCATCAGCTCGTGACCAATGAGCACATTATCAACAATCTGAAGCTCCCTAATAAACGCATTTTGACCCTCCGACACAATGTTCGGCAGATATGGCGCTAGACGCTCCGCCATAACCTTGGTGATTATTTTATACACAAACTGGCATAAACTAATCGGCCGTAGCTGGCGAACATTTTCCACCTCATCCACCTTAGGGATCAATGTCAGCCAGGTGTGATTAAAGCTATGTAAAATACAACCATTTTGGAAAAAAGACCGTACAGCCTCCACCACCGATTGACCAACAATATCCCAAAATGCCCTATAAAATTTCCCCGTAAACCCATCTGATCCCGGCGTCTGCTTCGCACCCATGGAGAACACCGTCTTGCGAATCTCCTCCGCAATGAGCTCCGCATTCACACTGTCCGAGACTTTTGGAACAATGGGCAACTGCGCTACCCGCGCCACCGTATTCTCCGATGTGAACAGATGCTCATAGAAGCCAACTGCCAACTCCGCCTTCTCCTTCTCTTCAGTCACCCATTCCCCGCTTGGTTTCTGCAATTTTTCCACGAAATTGCGTTTGCGTCTCGTCCGCGTGACCGCATGGAAATACGACGTATTCTGATCTCCCACCTTCAGCAACCGAATCAGTGATTTCTGTTGCCAGAACACTTCTTCAGCCTCCCATTGCCTGGCCAACTCTTCTTACAGACCCCAAATCCTCTCCCATTCCACTGGTGCCGCATTTCGTAAAGCCTCAATCTCTGTCTGGAGCACCCGGATTTCCCTCGCACAATTGGTCGTTCCTGCCCGACTCCAATCATATAGGAAATGCCGCAGTTTTTTAAGCCGTTGCCAAAGTCTATACATAAGAGACCCTCGCTCCTCCTGGCTCCACACATACTGGACAAACTGGTGCACCTCAGGATTGTCCGCCCAACGAGCATCGAACCAAAACAGCGGCCGACAATTCCGCACAAACGGTTTGTCCGCGATCAAAGTTGCTCGATGATCCGACCCTAGATCGGTGCAATGTTTCACCAACGATGCTGGGTAGGCATCCATCCACATCGCAGAGCCCAAGGCCCTGTCTAGCCTCTCCATCACGCAAGCATTACCCATCCGTTTATTTGTCCACGTATATGGGCTCCCCTGGTACCCTAAGTCCTGAAGACCCAAATCATCCATAAAAGTCCAAAGATCCGCCGATTGTGTTGGATTCCAGGACGTACCCCCCATCACATACACAAAGCAAGAGCCTAAAAACTCTTTCCACACTCTGTCCGCCCAAAATAGCAGTAAAAGAACATGTTGTCGCCCCCAAACCCACAACCCAGAGAGCTTCACATAGCAATTACTATATAAACAAGTCACCAAACCCCAGCAACATATCACCAAATTGTGGATCCATCTCAAGATTCCCATACCTGGGTATTGAGTACTCTCTTCTTCACGTTCACCTCTCGCTCGTGCCTGCCAATCACCTTCACAATTAGTATGAGCTGTGGAATAGTGATTTTGGCAACGATGCGCAGTTGTTAAATAGACCCACTTCGGGGCCAACCGTAGCACCGTCTCTTGAATGGATTCTCGATTTGAGGTTATCCCATCCGATTTTTTCAGAAGGAGATATCTCTCTAGGAGTCCACACCTTTTCTGATCTTCAGCCTCGCGAGATTTTCTCGCACCTTCCCAATCCCGAATTTGAGGGGATTTTTTATTTTGTTCAGTATTTTCTGGTTTTTCGTTTTTCCCTGCTTTTTTTCCCAACGAGGGAAGGGGAACCTGCTCCTGCCGATTCAGCTAGACATCGCCGCCCCAATCCTCCTTCGCCACACCCATCGACGGTGCTCGTCGCCCATCTTGGATCTCGTCCCACCGGAAACCTAACCGACACCGACTAGTCTCACCTCCCCCATCAGGATTCCACCATCGTTTGCTTTTCTCGACTCCCTTTTCTCGCCCTGCCGCATGCAAGATATGCCCGATCCAATCCCTAACTCGAGAATCACCGGCCGCCAACTCAACGCCATTTGCTCCCCACCAGCACCCATGGCTGAGTAGAGGAGTAGGACTTGAAGGATCGCCCGCCCACCATTCGAGAGCAGGCAGAGGAAGTTTACCCAAACAAAAGAGCAGCCCTCGATGAGGAGAGAGGACAGAGCATTTGCTCTCATTTATTTTTTCGTATCCGAACCAACAATTCACCCCCACATTGCCAAACAGAGAAACAATCAAAGAAAGGAGAATATTACTGCTTCAACGTCCATTAGCAACAAAGAAATGATAATTAGAAGAAAAGAATATACACTTCCTTTTTTCCCCCATAAAACAAACAGCAAGAAAATTAAGATCGAGAAGACATGAGCAACACAAAGCATGCCAGCCGGACCAACAAACGACTCGTCGCCACCAAAGAGACAGTCGCCGTCACATTCCCACCGGCCACTCCACAAAACCGCCATTTAAGGCTGCTGCTGCTCAAACCAAAACATATACGACTTCCTTCTTCTCCATCCTTTTCACAATGTAGTGTATACGTACGTACGTAGTATGTCAGCGTATTCTCTTCTATATAATATCATTTCCTTCTTTTCCCCCCATTTTCACCAACTTTTTTTTCTAACAAAGAAAACAATTTACTCATAGTACTTTGCTGTCGATAGAGCACTTGACTTTCTTCCACATCACCAGTGACTTGAGAAACTCCATTACCTACACAATACGAGTGACAAGAGGTTAATATTTGACAAGGGCGCCATTCGTGTTCTTCTGATTTACAGAGTCCTGTAGTGCGATAATATTACCTCAGATGGATCTCTCAGGGAGTAATATGCATTGCTTTCCTTGGGCACAGATGACACCAATATCCCATACCCGCACTTCCTGTCCCTCAACACCTGTGCGTGCAAATACAGAAGCAGCAGTTCAGTGTAATTTATCCACCAAGATTTTGCACGCCTTTCTTTCCTTGAGCTACAAGATTTTTCCAGTCATTACCTTAAATGCATCTTCATCGGTCCGGTCATCCCCGATGTAAATCGGAAGAACATCATCGCAATTGCTCAGGCCTGGCCAAAAACAAATGGTCAGTCAGGGTTGTCTTTATTTACATGAAGGAGAAACTAAAATCCGGAGTATACATCTGTGACTACAAGTTGGTCAGGAGTTGAGAGGTTACCAAGGGATTCAAGAAGAAATGTCACAGCCTTCCCCTTATCCCAGTCGATTACAGGCCGCACCTCTAGAACCTAATCAAAAGCCAAAAGCCACAAACATTGTTTTACACTTTTACACTTCTTAGAAGAAGAAGAGGGAAAAAAGAAAAAAAACAAATCAAATGTAAACCAGACACATCACAGGAAAGAAGACGAACTCAGGGATTCACCTTTCTTCCGTGTGTCAGCCGTAGCTTCGGATAGTTTTTAATGACTTCGTCTACAGAGCGCGCCACCACGTCCCAATACTGGGTAGAAAAATACGTTGGAACTTTCAGTTAGAACGGTCCAGCCAAACAGTAAGTACACAAATAAAGGTTAAACTAACAAAGTTTATGACTAATGTTAAATTAAAAAAAGAGGTACCTTATCATCTACATTGCGGTAATGTACGGAGACGCAGAATTTGTTGTTTTCAACTTTAGCACCTTTTATGTCTCTAGTGCTCTCCACAAGGGAATTGAACACCTGTCCAATTCGAATACAATGAAATAGGCTTCACTAAACCTGGACCTGGGAGACAGCTAATTACTATCTTCCAAAATAGCAAGTACATGCTACATACCTCATCAATCATGGGTAGAAATTCACTAGCAGGCTGGAACAGATTAACTTCTTTGCCCTGCATAGGTGAACCGAGTTTATAAATATATATAGCTCCCACACATTTGGGAATGGAAAAAAGCAGGAAGCTACACAACGTTGTTCCTTACCCGCTTGCAAGTGGACCGTATAGTATTTGCATGGTTAGCAGTTACAGATTCTCTAACGGGACTCATTATGTCCATCCCATGACTACCGGCATAGTATAGTTCAGTTAGACCTACAAACTCGTAGACCTAAAACAAAGAGAAACCCACTTGAGAAACATAGACACTAAGTGTCGTATCAAATCTGTGAGAACTCTACAGAATGGTTACCTTGTCACGACTTCTTCCACTAATTATGGCTGTTGGGAAATGTTTCGCAACCTTTTTGACAGCAGATCGCATCTGGAAAAAAGGATCACCAGCACACCAAATAATCAGCAAACCCAATTTACAACAAAATATAAAGACCGGTAACTTCAGCATTCTGTAAATGTATAGTCTATTCTTACTTTGTTAGACATGAAGGCGCAGTCCGGGTTGTCAACAATGGGTGAAAGGGTCCCATCGTAATCAAGAAACAATGCTATCCTTTTCCCTCTTGCAAAGTTTGCAATTTGCTCAAATGATGCCAGAGCTGACGGATATTTAAGCTGATCATATTGGGAAAAGGGTTATGCAGCAAGTTCCAGTTAGTCACAGTCAAAATTGTTAAAGATAAAGGAACAAAAACCTAAAAGCCATAACTTACCAGCCAGTTTGAGTACCCACTATCATCGGGTGATGTATGATCATTGTTCTGTTCCTTGATTACCCTCTTAGGAGGAGGTGACGATGCTTTCATAGCATCCAGCCAGCTGCTGGAGCGTACATCGTCCAGTATTCCAGCTTTCTTTCTTGGAACAGTTAGTAACAGATTTGGCGAGAATGCTGCTCCAGAGGCGGTGGTGCATGGTAACAAGGAAGAATGCAACATTGACTTGGCTATGGGTGCAGAATCAGTGAGAACTGGAGAAGCGTGATTTGATTTGAGGTCCATTTCGCAAGGATCCGTGAGCCCGGCTTTGGAGTATGCAGATCAAATAAGCCAACAGTTCCAACACCCTTGGAATTGGAGAAAAAAACTATTTCTCGACAGTTGAAAATTAATTCACCCCACCGTCTTGTCAATGAAAAACCACCTCTTCAAGGATTTCTTATCACAGATGCTCGGCAAGCAGTCCATCAATGGCAGACCTCTAGTACACTGACAAACAGCAAGGCTAGTAAGATGCAATAAAATTCAATGGCACCAAAACAAGTAAACAGGTTCCAGGTATTCAGAAGTTACCTAAATGGTCTCATTTCCTTTTAAGCGTATATCAGTTCAGAGGAAAAACTTCTTAGAGAATAATATGGAAGATGATGTGTGATTCCACGATTCAGGTTTCCTTGTAATCCTCAAGCTTCTGCAATGATTACAAAACAACAAAATGATTCAAGGCTCTAACAAGTACCAACAAAGGAATTGATAGTCCACAAAGAACAGAATATAAAAATCATATTGGGGGGGAAACAAAAAGGATGGAAAGAGTCTGTCAAAAGACGACAACAAGGCTGCATAAAGAATGTTAAAGCATGCAAGTTGAATATCATTGCAGCGGAAGAACAAATTGATCCACTCGTCCTTCCATGACTTTTCCTAGCCCTTTCTGCTTTTCTTGCTCAGTTGTAATTACAACGATGGAATAGTCATCTTCAGGGAAAAGCAAAACTTTAGGGAAAAACTGTATGCTCCATTTCCAAATTTCCCATGCACCAGTCTTGACTCTCGCCTACTTGAGCTTTACCAGCCTCAATACAAAAAGGAAATCCTACCTGTAAATCAGCCCTCTTATTTCTCCACTCTTTCACAGGAGTTGCTAAAAATAAAGCTTAAGCAACCGGTAAACTCATCACTCTTGGCCGTCAAAAAGCAGCGTTGATGAAAAAGCAGGTAAATTATTGTTCACAAAGATGCTTCTAGAGTACAGTAGAGAATCCTTAGACCCCATACCAACCAAACCAACTCCAAAGGGTATACAAAAATAGAAAAATATGATGAAATATGCATCTTGTGCTAAATGAGTAACCACAAAACGAACAGTCCATGAGAGAATAGAATCATACATACACAGAGATTGTGAATCTGCCAGAGCTTAGAAAGGAAAGAACGAGCAACAAAAATCATACACATATTGAAGAAACAGTGACCGGCTTTGAAACTAGGCCCACAAATTGGATGTCTAGTAGAGAAATCATTGAAAATTTTCATGGTTTATTTACATAAAAAGCTCTGGAGCCCCACAGCAGTGGGATGTTGGCATACCATATGCAACCACACAAGACGGGCCTACCATGATGAGTATGGGAATCATTTACGAACATGGACCCAATGCCTAAAAATGGATTCACAGATGATATGAATCATATTGAATGCAGAAAAAAAAAATCTCAAGTACGCCAAGAAATCTCCCCATGTTTTTGTTACTATCACACATTCTACCGTGCTCAACAACTCCTTATTTTTCAATGGTGGAAATGAAGAGAGAACAAAAAGAACATTATTGTCAAGGGGCATGCTTTCCATCGAGCTCAAGTTATTGAAATGTCTTCACGAAACTCCACCAACTAGCAGGTAGTGGTTTTGGTCCACGTCAAGATTCCACAATGACTTGTGGAAATTGACATATGACCATAACTTAAGTTATGTAGGGTAGAGTAATTGACCAAAATTAATGGCAATTATACCATGAACCCCCCGTAATTCGATCTAAGGAAAAGGAATCAATGGTATAAAGCAAATCATGGCATAATCAACCAATAATAACAGCTCCAGGCCAGGAACGAGACAATACAATAAGCGTCAATGTCGAAGTAGCTATCTGGCTTTTCACGGTTGGGAAAAGCTGAAAGAGATTGAAATAAAATAAAAACGGAAAGGGGAAGAAGAAGAATAAGAAACCGCCAAACATAATTCCCAGGGACTTAATTAACAATCGATCAAATACAAAAAAGAAATAAAAAAACCGTACATTGAATCTTTAACTGCAGGAAGGGGGAAAAGTAAAGACGCCATGAACATGGGGAGGGGGCTCAGCCGCCATGAAACGCGTATTCAGACAGGCAGTATCAATAATGGAGGAAACGGAATCCCAACCGAGAGCAAACCGACCCTTTCAAGAAATAAAGAATAACGCACCTAAACCGAGAGGCGAGAATTCGGAGCCCGCCGGCGACAGTAAGACGACAGACCGCAGCCGGAATGCAGGTATACCTTCAATAACAAAGAAACGGCGGGAATCAATAAATCACGCAAACGGAGAAAGTCAAGACAACGGCGCTACTCGGAATCGTTGAAAAAATGTAACAAACAGAAAGTACGCGCAGGAACGAACAGGAAAATCAAACGCGGCGAGCTCCGCCAAGAAGACTCCACCTCTGCCGACAAATGCCGGAGCGGAATAGAAAACAACGAACAAAATCGGCGAAACGGTACCTGAGCCGAACGGAAGCGAGTAGGAAGAGAATGTGTCGGTGCTGGTGGTGGCAGCAGCAGAGCGAGCTTCTCTTCAGCTGCAGGGGGAAGGGACAGGGAAATGGAAACCCTAGAATCGGCAGAGAATCAAGGCGGGGAGGAAAAAAGTGAGAGAAAAAGGATTCTTCCTTGCGTTTAGTTATAGAGAGAATCGATGCAGGAACCCGAAAAGCGAAGTAAGAAAGAATGCGGAGAGAGAGAGAAAGAGGGCTTTATTAACAAAAAGCTGCAATATATTTATAGAATGAAATAACGGGGTTGGTTTCGGTTTGTTGAAACGGGAAACACTGCGGCTTTGATTAATAATTAATATTGTATATGTATATTAATAATAATAACTGCTGTTGCCCCCAACATTAACTACGCCTCGCGTGAGCGTCACGCGCAAATTAATGACCGCGTAAAAAGCAAAAAAACTGAAAATGCGCGTCGGGAGGTGTGGGGATGGGAGTTTGTTTTTCTCTCTAGTCTGGTTTGTTGGGAAACTGGGAGAAACTAAATAAAAAAAGAAAAACGAAGAGAAAGGTTCAGTTATTTGTAATTGGTTGGATTAATTAGGAGGAAAAAAACGGCAAAAGAGCGAGACACGTGGCTGTGGAGACTTCAAACCAGAGTGGTGACACGTGTGAGTGAGTCAGGTCTGATGCGGCCACGTTGGAGGAGGAGTGGGTCCCGGGGTAGGGTGCGAGCAACGTGTCGTCGCTTTCAAGTGAGCAAAGGGCGAGAGGTGGTGGCGGTGACCGGCGGTGACGGTGGGTTGGTTGATATAATAGGCGAGGGGGGATGGAATTGCATTGGGGAGGAAAGGGGGTGTCCCACGTGGCAGGAGACAGGGTACGGCAGGGGAGTTTGTGGCCGTTGGATATGGTGATGTGGCGGTGGATGGAGGTTGTGTAGTGATGATAATGGGGCGGGGCGGGGCGGGTAGACCCACTCTTACATGTTGTTCAAAAAAATACGAGTAAATTTTACTTTTTACAATAAAACGTAGGAAAAAACACTTTAAAAATGAAAAATATTGATAATAGAATGGATAATTGAGCCTAAAAAGTTGAAAGATCGACTCTAACTAGTTGAAGAAAAGTCAATTGTAAGAAATTGAGATAAAATGAGTCTAAAACGAGGCGGGGTGAGGCAGGATGGGTTAGAAGTAGATATCCATGTCCCGTCCCACACTACTGCGACTCAGGTAATACCCGCCCCATCACGAGTCAGATCGGTTAATACCTGTGAGGCGGGTTGAAATTGTGATCACTAAGGTTGTGGGGTCCTTAGTATGGGACTGATGAATCGACGGTGTCCTTGGCTAGGTCACGGCGTAGTTCCACGTGGCTGAGGGATGGGGTGTTTTACCTTTCTAACTTTTTCTTACCTCGGGAAATGTCGTTTGGGAAACGAACAAAGGGGAAGAGAAGGTAACAAGTTAAAAATTAAAATATGTACCCCCGAACAGTAAAAAAGGGGGGAAAGACTAAAGAGGGTAGAAAGTTGGGTTTTGGACAGGAAGAGAAGGTAAGAAATTATTTTTGTATTTTTGTATTTTTCACAAACCAAAATTTGCTTCTTCTTCCTCTTAGTTGTTATTCGTCCCGGACTAGTTAATTTAGTGGGCTAATAAATAAGGTCAGTATGTCAATAAAAATTAGGTAGAGACACCCCAAACTTTACCTACTCAATTGTGCGAAGAAATTACATTCCTATTCTGACTTAACTATCAAAAGTTAGAGAAAGATAATGTCAATGCGAATTTTTTTTCTTTTTTTATCCAAGATAAGTCCCTAAAACATGGCCGAACAATAAATATATAAAACTGATAATAATAAAGAACGGTAGCTCGTATCCAATAGAGTCATGCTGTGCATCAATCAGAGCGTGAGATGAGAAAGGGAAAGCGTAGAAGGGAGTGAAGCACAATGGCAAAAGGAAGAGCAAAAACCTTCCTGCCGTTGGCTTTAGGGTGCCCCCAAAAAGAGAAAAGCGCTAAGTGCCGTGTGGGGTGGGTGCCGCCAGATCGGGCCGCTGGTTGGTAACCGAATCTTCTTCTTTATTATTATTGTTTGTTCACTTTGGTTCTCCTTTAATGCCGTATGTTTTGGTGTTAATACGGCAAGTTAAAGCTTAATCACTTTTCCCGCTCTTCCCGACTTTCTAGAGTTAGTGTACTACAAAGTGATTAATCTGGTTTTATTTATAGTTTGGGTTTAGATTCCGAGGTTGATTGATTGGTCTGATGGTCTCTCTTTTTCTATGTTTCACATGTCAATCATCCTCTAATGACGGGGAAATGAAATCCTAGTTAAGTTCCCATTTTACTTGGAGAACAATCAAACCATATATTATAGCACAATCAAAGAAAAATTAGCATCTTCAGAGAATCTGCATTAGCATTGCATTTTCGATTGCAAGTTGACATAGCATGGATTTTTGTGCAATTGCATAAATGTGACTACTCATTGCATATTTTCAAATTTACAACAAATGCAATCGCATATGAAAGCTAAAATATCCTAAAAATGATTTTTTTTTTATTTTCAGTTTCATTTTACTTAACTTTTTCATAATTTAAAAATAATATTTTACTACATATACAATTGCACCGATATAGGTACAATAACATTAATATGAAATGCATTACAAAAACATTGATGTAAATAAATAAACCTCATAATATAATTAATTTTGCAATTGCGCTCATCCTACAAATACTATATGGAGTTTCTTCTCTAAAACCCTACTAATCACAATTTTGCAGCCTCCTGCGCACAGATCGGAGGGGCCTTTAGGTTCAATTTATTTTTAAACCACATGGCCATGTAAATAGGGATGGCAAAAATATCCGTAACCATGGATATCCACCCGAATCCGGCCTAATCGGGTAGGGTAAAACCCAAACCCGAAAGACATTTAGTGGGTACGGGTAAAACCCGAACCCGAATATTGTGGGTAATGGGTGGACATGGATTTCTCACTATCCAACCCGAACCCGCCCGATTATACAAATGCATATGTATTTCCTCTAGATATAATCATTATTTTTCTCTAACATATTTTATATTTAGCATATAAGTATAATATTTTCATGAAATTGTTTTGTTTTAATTAATTTTTTTCATTCTAGTGAATTATTGTCATACTTTTCCTCTTACGTAATGTTAGAATTCGTGTGAATGTTAACATATTGGTTGAAGTTATGAAGAGAAGTGATTACCCATGGATAACCGTGGATACCCGAAACCCGAACAGGTATGGACATGGTTTTGATTTTCTACCCGTTTCACATGCGGGTATGAGTATGGGTAAAACCCGACCTACTTTGGGTAGGGTAACGGATATGCACTATCCACCCCCGACCCGACCCATTGCCATCCCTACATGTAAAGCATAAAAGGAGCGGATAGGCTTAATTAGGTTTTGTTTTGATTTATAATTGGTTTTGTTTTGACGGATAGGAAGTTTTGTTTATAATTATATGATGTATGAAATGAATGATAGTAAAAACGTTCTCTTTTTAATTTTGATTAAGTAAACAACTCATTTTTTCCTGAGTTTTGTTTATAATTTTCTATAAACTCATAGTATGTTTAATAGTACGCCAATAGTTAAAAACAACTATAATTAATTATTTAAATTAATATATATTTTATAGTTAAGTTAACAATTAAATTAATTAAATATAAATATACGTGTTTAGTACGGGAGTTATCAAAGGAAAAAAATAAAAGGATTCATAATAATACGGATACTAAAGTTTTAAATGGATAAAATATATACGGCCATTATACGTGTATTAAATGGCGTATTTACTAACTATGGTTAGAAGTTGGCAATCTGACTAATCATTATTGAGGTTGGTTGTGATGTTTTTCGGGAACGAAAATGGTTGGGGATGCCAATTTTGTCCAAACCCATGAGTAATTAATCATCCAATCAGATTGAGTTGGGTATGAAACTCAAATACAAGGTAAATGTTTACATATTTTATTGTTTTATACACATATCCACTTATTTGAGTTGGTTCGAATTTTTAAATCATGGATTTGGATTTGTACCCATGACCATATAAAATCAAGATTTTGGATCTTATAATATTTTTGAAATTTAGTACCTAAAATTAACTTTTGGCATATAATTCCTAGAAATCAATGAAAAAATTCATTTTGTACGTGAAATTTTCATTCTTACAATTTTACACGTAAACTTTATAAGTTTTACAAATCGATCAAAATTCGTATATGTAGTTTAATCAGTCTCATATATGTAAACATTGTATTCCAAACATATATGCTATGGTTTCTTACTTCGACAGGGTACAAATATCTAAATTTGATATTTTTAGATCAATTAAAAATCACAGGAAAAACTCAACAGTCAATCTCAAGCAAAACACTACATGAGTTTAATCAATTAAAAATGAAAGATGGAGAAGAGGTAAGCATCAATTGCGATTTAACTAGCCATTAACTATCAAATGCTAACACTTTCTGTCCTATGTTGGGAAATATGTATTCCGTCAAATGCAAAGTTGTGAAGGTTAATAATGGGTGGTGCTATGCTAAATGGGAAGCATGTCCACAAAAACTCGAAGAAGACCGATGAATACTTCTACGGGAATTGTACAAAAACATTAAAAACGACAACATCAAGGTAATACAACTATTATTAATATGAAATTTAATCTGGTATATTTCATTGATGAATATACATGCTAAATGATCGGATATTTAATTTTAAAAACATTATTTATTCGTAGAATTCAAAGATTATATTACTGATGCATTAAGAAAGGACATTCCCCTAATAATTAGCAAAGCATGGTACTGATACAAGCGGAAAGCTTACATACGTATTAAAATATTAAATTAGATATGTGTAACATAAAGAGATTCCAAGAGATTGGTATGTTATATTAAAAAATGGATATGAGAACGAGGTTATGTTTTTCTTCTACGCATCTAATGTACCTAATGAGACAATTTTCGTATTATTTATTTAATAATTTAGAGATTTTGTATTTACCACCTAAAATAACGTATACTTTAGTAATTTTTAGTGTTTTTATGTTATTACCATCATTATCCAAATTCGGGATCAACTTTCGAGTTGCAGAAAAAACAGGAGTGGCTGACTTTATTGTCATGGATAGAGTGGGAACTTGGGTTTTAGAATGTCGACAGAAAGGCTATTCCAAGATAATGATAGAATTAGA